GGTTGTGCCAGTCAGCTTTCGTATGATATTGTTTCTAGCACCCACTTTTTGCTTGATGTTCAGGCAGTGCTTCTTGTAGGTAAGAGCACGGTCCAGAGTGACTCCCAGGTATTTGGGTGCGCTGCAATGCTCCAGTGGGATTCCTTCCCAGTGATCCTCAGAGCTCGGGATGCTTGTCTGTTCTTGAGATGAAAAGCACATGTCTGTGTTTTAGATGGTTAGGGATCAGCTGGTTTTCCCTGTAATAGGCAGTAAGAGCACCTAGAGCTTCGGAGAGCTTCTGTTCAACCATCTCAAAGCTCCCTGCTTGAGCAGTAATGGCACGATCATCAGCATAGATGAAACTCTCTGTCCCTTCTGGCAGTGACTGGTCATTTGTGTAAATGTTGAAACTTGATGGAGCAAGCACATTGAGCCATTTTGGTTCAAGTGGTGCCAAAATGCCTTCCTCAGACAGTGTAGATGCACCTTGAGGTTTTGACCTGAAAGGAACTGACATTTGATAAGAAGATGCATTGCTTTCACACATCACCATTATACCGGTTGGAAAGATCTGGACTGATGTCCCTTTGAAGAGGCTGGATGGCCATCTATTGGGGGAGCTTTGATTGTGCTTTTCCTACGTGGCAGAATAGGGTTAGACTGGATGGCCCTTGGGGTCTCTTCCAACTCTAGGATTCTATGTACATTTCTCATGGGGCTTCTTGTTATGTGAAACTTTCTCTTACAGGATTATTAGAAATAATAATAAACTTTATTTGTACCCCGCCACCATCTCCCCAAAGGGGACTCGGGGCGGCTAACATGAGGCCAAGCCCAAAATTACAGTACAGCAAAATAAAATACAAAGAAGCAAAAATACCATCAAAATAAATACATGAAATAACAAAATAAAATAAACAGTTTCAAAATACCATGATAGAGAAATAGAACACAGTGGGCAGGCCAAATATATTAGGATAAAATTGATAAAACCCTGAATGAGATAGGTAGTGGGAGAATGTGTTTCTGAGGGAGGAGCTCAAAAGGAACGAACAATGGGGTTTAATAAGATCCTTAAAACATGGGAAAGGATTGTAGTAACCCCACCTATTCCCTGTTTTCAGCTAAGAAATATGGGAGACTGCATGGGAAGGATATCAGTGCTGCGAAGTATAATTGTGAGCTGGATGGATCAAAGCCACGTTTAATAGTCTTCGTCTCTGCTGGGAATGGTCTTTTGTATGGCTATCGAGTCTTGATTACAGAATCAAGACAAGGCACCACAATTTTACATTGCTTGCATGTTTGTGTGTCCATCCCTATATATGTATAATATAAGGTTTATCTCTACCCTTGAACTTCCATGGAATCCTGGGAGTTGTAGTTTTACAAGGCTTTGAGCCTTCTCTGCCAAAGAGTGTCTCACCAAATGATGGCTCCTATAATTCCATAACATGGAATCATAGTAGTTAAAGTGGGGTCAGTCTGCATTCATTTTCCAGTGTAGCTACACCCTAAAACATCTGGAGGAACAAAAGTTGAGAATGCTGATTCTTCCCCGGTGCCATTCAACAAAGCTCAGCCTTTGAGTTCTTCAAACATAAATAGGGAGCATTTTTTCCTGAAAAAAACCACAACATTGTTGTCATTTGAGCAAATCGTCTGGGCCTGTGAATCCGGGGCGGGTAATTATGTGATGCAACAGCTGTCATGCAAGCGGAAATTTCTGCCTCTTGGAGCGTTTCCCAGCTCCCCACTCTTTCCTTACTTCTAAACAGCAGCTTGAGTTCGCACATAAAAAGAGTCTAATTTTAACTCATCTTGGTGATGTGTTGTCAGAAAAGACAGTTATGTGGGTGTTCAGGCTTTCTGTCCTTTCCGATCCTATCAATGCTTTTCCACGCGGGTTTTATGAAATCTGTTTGATTGGAGATGTTATCTCATATGGTGGGAATAATCCCTTTAATAGCCAAGGTGATGGTCCACCCTGGAAGGAAACATTAATGGAAGGAAACATTATCTTTCTTACTGTCTGTCCCATCTGTCTGTCCATCCATCTACCCATCCATTCACCCATTTGGCCACCCATCGGTCTGCCCATCCATCCATCCTACCAACACACCCACCCACCCATCTATCCGTCCATCCATCCATCCATCCATCCATCCATCCATCCATCCATCCATCCATCCTACCCACCCATCTGCTCATCCAGCCAGCCATCCACTAACCCATCTGTCTACCTCTCTGTTCACCCATCTGTCCATTCATCCATCTGTCCATCTGTCTGTTCCCCTACCCACCCATCTGTCCATCCATCCATCCATCCATCCATCTGTCGTTCCACCCAACTGTCTACTCATCTGTCCTCTGATCCCTCCAACGACCCGTCCGTCCACCCACCTATTCATCCATTTGTCCATCCATATGCCCATCCATCCACCCATCCACCCAGTGTCCAGTATGATCCCCATGGGGGATACATTCCTGAACTTCACGTTGATAAATAAAGTGAATCCTATTATTTTCAAGTGCCGTCCTTCCATCCTGCAGAATTCTGGATTTGTAATTTTGCTGAGCTCTTTTGGCAACCTAAGGATGCTCAATCTCCCACCCATGGTTTGGGTAAAGTGAGAAATGCCGTTTCCCTTCTCGGAGAACTATTAAATTTAGGCACGTCTCTTCTCAACGCCAAGGCCTGGCAAGCTTGAGGCTTGATGATAAACCTGGCTCTGTGTAGAGATCCCATGGAAATATGGGAGTTGTTATTTTGCAAACCCCTTTGCCATAGATGCAGGCGAAACATCAGGAGAGAATGCCTCTAGAACATGGCCATATAGCCTGAAAAAACCCACAACAACCCTTTTGCCTTCTCTGCTGAAGAGGGCTGGCACCTTGCGAAATTACAACTTTCAGGGTTCTATCTCCTGTAGCCAGGGCAATTCAAATGGCATGAAACCGCATTAAGTCTACAGTGTAGATACACTCAGGGTTTGCTTGGGTCTGGGTGATAGATGGTGTCATGTAAGCGACCATCATATTTGGGTAGGGGCTGAATGTCCCTTGACAAGGGTGTGGACCAAGCAAACGAGTGCCTCCAGCATTCAGAAACACATCCAAAAGCAGATTAGTCACAGAGGAGGCATTACAGATGTATTAAAGCAGCTGTCTGAGTCCCCCAGATTTATAACTTAATGAAATTCGTGTGCCAGCAGCCTTTGATCAAGCATTGTGCCAACCACGTCCTGCTTTGCAAACTGAAATGCCCACCACCGATATCTTCATAAGCTACAGAATGGGTACTAAATAAATAAATAAATAATTTCTAGGCTCTCTAGGTCTTCACAAAGCCCAGGAACATATCCCTTGCAGAAAGAGAGTTTAATACTGGATTTATCCACTTCTCATTTCTCAAGCTGGTTCATGATTTGAAGTATCTATATTTTTGATATTTATTGTAATGCACTCCTCCAATAAGAAAGGAATATGTACCAAAGCGTAAAAAAAAATGACACACAAAAGGTTATATCTCGGTGAACATAATTACAAAATTACGCAGGCTTATGGAAAAATTGCTTGCCTAAACGCATGTATAGCAGAGAAAGAAAAACAAACAAAAACAAAGCACGCTTATTTGGGCTTACTCCCAAATAAGCAAGCCTTAGGTGGATTTCTTTGTAAAGCCGATTTTAAGATTTATTTTATGGGATGATAGTTTGCATATCTCTGTCTGCATATGGATCTTGCAAGGCAATTGGCAAAACATTGCTATCAAGGCCACTACAGTCCAAGTATTGAGCGTCAGTGTGGTGACTAGACCTCTGGAGACCCGGGTTCGAATCCCCGCTCGGCCATGGAAAATTTGCAACCGAGGGGCCTTTGGATTTGCAAAACAGGCTGCACGTGTGTGCTTTAGATTTGTCTATTGACTTGTAGTGACCCCAGGAATGTCATGGGGTTTTCTTAGGCAAGGAATGTTTAGGGATATTTTTGCCTGATCCTTCCCCTGAAATAGAGCCTACGACACTGAGTAGAACTGTTTAACAATGGAATATGCTGCCTGGGATTCTGACGGAATCGCCTTCTCTGGAGGTTTTAGTAAAGAGGCTGGATAGCCATCTTTCAGGAATGCTTTGACTGTGTATTCCTGCATGGCAGAGTTGGACTAAATAGCTTTGGGGCATTCCTTCCAACTTTAGTGGAGTGTGCTTCTGCCTTGGAATTAATCAGTCTTTTCTGGAGAGAGGCTAGAAATAGGTTGGACTGGATGATCTTTGGGAATCCCTTTTAATTCTAGTGGAATATGCTTCTGCCTTGGAATGTGGTGAGGCTGGATGGCCATCTGTCAGGTACTTTGATTGTATATCCCTGTATAGTAGAATGAGTTTGGACTGAGTGGCCTTTGAGGATCCCTTCCAACCTTTTTGAGAGTCTGCTAGAGCTTCCTTTTCTAGAGGTTTTGAAGCAGAGGCTGGATGGCCATCTCTCAAGAGGGTTTTGATTGTGTTTACCTGCATGGTAGAAGGGGGTTGGACTGGATGGTTTTGTGGTCTCTTCAAACTCTGTGATTATGTGGGATTCATTGATGGTCTGCAATGCCAAGTGCTAACCAGAGCTGACCTGAAATCAGACAGGATCTGGTGCTTTTTGGATATTTAGGCCCCATTACTTTCATTATCCTGATTTTAGAAAATCTTACAGAAAATTCAAAAGGGCCGATGATGTGGGGAAAAGACCCAGGGCTTACAGGAAACGTGCTGTGTCACAACGGCCACATTTTGCAAGTTGATGCCGAATGGAGCCCTGGCCCTGTGCCCCTGAGATCTTCTTGGATGTTGCCACTGCCTGGCTGGCATCTCCATCCACAAGACCCAACCTTGGGGTTGTGACTGGGGTGGGCCGAAGGGCCAAAGAACATGCCACCCTTGTGGTGTCCCTCCTCTGCCATGGCCTTGGCTGCGTTTCCTTCTGTGCTTCCCTCCTGCTCCACCCTCCTTGGTTGCAAGGCTGTGAAAGGAGGGCAAGAGCTTCTTGCCAGCTGGCTGGCTGTTTGTCAGTGAGCTCTGCCTGATAGCCAAGGCCGAGGCACTCATGGTGTGTGTGTGTGTGTGTGTGGTTGTGCATGTGCTTGTCTGGTGTGGGCGGGAGCCACTGCCTTATGGATGTCGCCCAAGTGGGGAGGGACCGCATGGGTTGGGCTCTCTCTTTATTTTGGCCCGCGGTGACGCCTGGTCCTGCCCGCCGTTGGTTATTATGGATGCAATCATTATTCAGGAGCGATTAGTCGAACGCCTGCTTTCGCCAAGGACTCTGAACCAACGCAGCCATTCAGCCAAGCTGAAGGTACAGGGGATATTTATAGCCGGAGCTGAGCTGCCGAGCAGGAGGAGGCTGGGCGGGGGGAAGCCAGGATGGTGCCCGAGGAGAAGCCTGGAGCCCACGAAGAGGCTCTCAAAGGGCAGGACGGCAGCCGGACGCAGCCGGTAAGGAGGCACAACAATGACAAAAGGCAGGCGGGAGTGGGGAGGGTGTGGGGGGGGGGGTGCAGCGACACCATGGTGGGTGAAGCACCAATGAGGCGGCGGTGGGTTATGAAAGGCAAGCCGTCAAACCCCAGTCTATTTCTGCATCCTCCTGCCAACCCCTGCCTTGCCGCTGCCATTTGGGTAGCTTGGCAGGTGGCACATTGAAACAGAGGTGTCCGTTCCGTGTGTCACCCTTCTGCACCTTTGCCCTGGCCACAAGGTGCTGCCTAGGAGAGGGTGCCTCCCTCCGGCTTGCTTCTGCTCATGCTTGGCTGCTGTGAAGCATCCGAGCTCTTGCCATCATCGAAATGGACAACGCTGGGGGTGGCACAAGGATGGTAAGTCTCATGCCAGCATGCATGTTCAGTGTTGCGATTGCAGGTGTCCTCTCCAAAGGAGGTGTCACTCGTACACGGGCATGAGCATCCTTCAGGGCTTTGGTTGGTCGTCTGGCTTTGAAACAGGGAATCAGGCACAAGAGAGACAACATCTTTGCTGTCATACGTTGTGTTTCATGGTAGCTTTAAAAAATGGAGGCAGCCAGGGTGAGGCTTGAGGCGAGATGCAAAAACCCTGGTAGAAAAAGAAAAGAGGGGAAAGCAAGTGGATAGGGTTTGCATTGTGTGAGCTCCTTGTCTTGTGTGTCACCTGCTGTGCCAAGCTTTCGTGCCAAGAAGGAGACATAGGGAAGCATGATAAAGGGCCCTGGGAACCATGCCGCCCATCAATTGGCAAGCGTCCCAGGCAAAGCCAAACACTTCCCGGCTGTTTGCCGCCCAGAGCCATATGGAGAACGTAGCAATGGATGCCAATTGGAGCTTTGGATGTATTTGTGGAGGTGGTGTGCTTCTCGCCTGCCGTATCCAAAGCAGCATGCCTCTCTGGATCCATTGCTGGTGAAGGCAAGACTGAGGCTGCAGTTGGACTGCTATGGGCAACTGGAATGGTGCGTTAAACTGTAGAGATGGGATAAGTCTGATCTTCTCAGGTCACAGGTCTGACTCTTGACTGTCCAGATTGGTCTGTGTACATTCTATTAGAAGGAGCCTCACAGCAACGCTGCAAGGGCGCTAGAGTTTGTGCTTTACGTCAAAGAGTCTAGAAACAGTCCCTGGCACCGTGGTTGAGAGAACAAAGTTGGGAGGCTTCATGCTTTCACCAAGTGAATGTATAATGGGGAGAAATTCCAGCGGATGGGCTTTTAAATTGTAGAGGAGCCCTGGGTTGCTGTAATTTTTTCGGGCTGTATGGCCATGTTCCAGAAGCATTCTCTCCTGACATTTCGCCTGCATCTATGGCAGGAGAGAATGTTTCTGGAACATGGCCATACAGCCCAAAAAACTTACAGCAACCCAGTGATTCTGGCCATGAAAGCCTTTGACATTACATTGTAGAGTAACCCCTTTTTGCGTGGTATAGATGTATACAGGCACCTTGCTCACTCACAAGCCTGACAAATGGACTGTGATTCCCATCATCCACAACACACCTGGAGGGTGCTTGGGTGCAAAAAGGGAGGGAAATGCTCTTGTGTGCCTGTAGTAGGGAAGCCCATATTTTCTATATGGATGGCTAGAACACCATGTCAGCCTCAGTGACATGCCATGGCTCTTTGAAGCCCCAGAGGAGCTTTAAATGGGGCAACTCAGCCTGCTGGGCTCCAGAGTGTGCCGTCCTTTCCCCTTGGCATTGCTTAGCTAACATCACACGACCCAAATGCCCTGATGCACGGGTGTTCTTGGCAAGGTATGCCACAGGAGGGGGACACTTGGTGGCCCTCCGGAGATGGCTGGTCATGATCTTGCTTGATCTCTCTATGGATGAAGGGAGCTGAAGTCCAACAGCATATTGAGAGACACAAGTTGCCTACTTTTGGCTTCCAACAATCCTTGATCCCCAGAAGTTGCTGGACTGTAGCCCCCAGAATCCCTAGTGAGTGGAAAGAAATGGCTGTGCAGTCAGTGATCGTTTCAAAATTGTTTGTGTGTTTTTGGGAACACTGCACAGGCGCAGGAGGGACCAAGGGAGCTGGACCAGAATGAAAATGGGAGAAAATGGCAGAAAGCAAAGGATGCCGTTGAGCTTCGTCTCCTGCTGGCTGTTTTCAGAGGCCTCACTTGGGGAGTGATAAATACTTGACCAGAATATAAAAATATCCTCTTCCCCCAGAACCGTTTGTTCAAGCGGAGGCGTTTCACAAATGGGTATCTATTGTGCTTTCGCGCTGCTACGAGCTGAGTTTCAAAATCTGGGAAGGGATCCACATTTGGGGCTCGGCGAATGCCGAAATTCCTGGGATTGCATTTTGGATCGTCATCCCCTGATTCATCTCACTCAGTTGCAGAGGGAAATAGCAACTGATGCATATTGTCAGATCTCATTTTCAGGAGAGTGAGGCCAGGGGTAGATAATATTGCAGTTTGGGTGGGGTGAGGGCACATTTTGGGGTGTGTGCACTATGGACACGGAGCAGGACAAATGTCACGTGAGTAGGAACAGACAGATGCCATTTAGGCACCTTTGTATTTTCTCCCATCAATGCATATTTCAATAGTATGCATGCTTACTCAGGTGAAAAGTCTGGGATGTTAGCTTTCAGGCACCCTTCTGTGCATATGTTTACTCAGAGGTAAGTTGTAGTGCAAATACTTCCCAAGGCTGTGGAGCAGTTCTGTGCATTAGCATCATAGAATCCTAGAGTTGGAAGGGCAATCCAGTCCAACTCCTTTCTGCCTAGATAGGAATACCTAACCAAAGCATTCCTGACAGATTGCCATCCAGCCTCTGCTTAAAAGCCTTCAGAGAAGGAGACTCCATGTGATTGCCAAACATCTCTTACTCTCAGGAGGTTCTTCCTAATGTTTAGGTGGAAACTCTTGTCCTATAGTTTGAATCTATTTCTCCATTGTGTTGTTGAAGGTAACATGGCCGGAATCACTGGGTTGTTCTGAGTTTGCCGGGCTGTCTGGTCATGTTCCAAAAGCATTCCCTCCTGATTTTTCGCCTGCATCTATGGCAAGCATCCTCCAAGGTTGTGAGGTCTGTTGGAAACTAGGAAAATGGGGTTTATATACCTGTGGAATAATGTCCAGGGAGGGAGAAAGAACTCTTGTCTGTTGGAGGCAAGTGTGAATGTTTCTATTGGCCATCTTGATTAGCATTTAATGGCACAACAGTTTCAAGGTCTGATTTCTTACTTCCTGGGGGAATCCTTTGCTGGGAGGTGATTAGCTGGCCCTGATTATTTCTTGTCTGGAATTCCCCTGTTTTTAGGTGCTGTTCTTTATTTACTGTTATGATTTTAGAGGTTTTTTAATACTGATAGCCAGATTTTGTTCATATTTATGGTTTCTTCTTTTCTGTTGAAATTGTCTACATGCTTATGGATTTCAGTGGCTTCTCTATGTAGTCTGACATGATGTCTAGAATTTCCATGTTCTCCAATAATATGCTGTGTCCAGGTTGGTTCATCAGGTGCTCTGCTATGGCTGACTTGTCCGGTTGAATTAGTCTGCAGTGCCTTTCATGTTCCTTGATTCGTATCTGGGCAATGCTGCTGCATTTGGTGACCCCTATGTAGACTTGTCCACAGCTGCATGGTATACGGTAGACTCCTGCAGAGGTGAGAGGATCCCTCTTGCCCTTTGCTGAATGTAGCATTTGTTGGATTTTCTTAGTGGGTCTGTAGATAGTCTGTAGGTTGTGTTTCTTCATCAGCTTCCCTCTGCGGTCAGGGGTTCCCTTGATGTATGGCAAGAACACTTTTCTTGCCTTGGTGGAAACAATCAGGGTGAGCTAATCACCTCCCAACAAAGGATTCCCCCAGGCAGTAAGAAGGCAGACCTTGAAACTGCTAGGCCATTAAATGCTAATCCAGGTGGCCAATTGAAACATTCACACCTACCTCCAACAGACAAGAGTTCTTTCTCCCACCCTGGACTTTCCATAAATATATAAACCCAATGTTCCTAGTTTCCAACAGACCTCACCACCTCTGAGGATGTCTGCCATAGATGCACATGAAACATCAGGAGAGAATGCTTCTGGAACATGGCCAGACAGCCCGGAAAACTCACAACAGCCCAGTATTTCTCCATTGTTTCCTGGTTTCTAGAGCAGGAGAAAACAAACAGCCCCCACTACTTCTCAATGTGACATCCTTTCAAATATTTCAACATAGCTTTCATGTCTGCTTCTCTCAGCCTTTTTTTCTCCAAGCTGAATATATCGAGTTCCCTAAGTTCCTTGTAGGGCTTGGTTTCCAAATCTTTGATCATGATGGCCACCCTTCTCTGGGGTGCGGTGAGTGATAACTGCATTGGGTGATGTCCTCTGAGAGGGTGATGCCAAAATGTTGCTCTCTATACATGCTGGCTTGGGAGAGGGGGGTGACATCATGAGTGACCATCCCGAGTGACTCCAGCTATGGAATGCCACCATGTTCAGGGCGGTCCCATGACACTTAGCTGCCTGAGGCAAAGATGCCATTCCCCGCTGTGTGTGTTACATACACTGAAGCTGACAGAACTGCCAGATGCATTTCACATCAGTCCTGAGCATGGGATGCCATCCTTTGCTACACCTGCGGGCAACGTAAGGATGTGTGTGTGTATGTCAGGAGATGCCATCCAGAATACGTGGCTTTTTCAGTGCTGAGATGTGGAGTTGGTACAAGACGCATCAAGGGATGATGCCCGCCAGCCTCTGCCGCCTGACCTGGTTTCCCCCTTCTCTCTAATGGTAGGGGCCATCCTCTCAAGCACTTCTCAGTTATTCTCCATCCTTTCTAATCTCAAACGGCACTGACAGCGTTGCCCTTGAGCGCTACTGGGCATACCAGCCTTGGCACGAGAAGACAAAATGCTTCAGGAGAACGCTTGGCTGATAATCTTTCCAATGGCACATTATATGTCTGCTGAGCAGGAACACAGTGCTTATTTTGCGCTACCTGCCCTTGATTTAAAATAACAATACATAAAAAACCCAGCAATCTCCTTTTTGGTTTTTGCTCGTTGGGACAATGTTGCTCATTGGCATGTTGAATGAATGCCGTTTGAGCTGCCGTGGCTCAATGCTGGGAGTTGTAGTTTGTCTCTCTTTTAGTAGAGATGGTGAGAGGCCTTGTAAAACTACAACTCTCAGGATTCCATAACACTGAGTTCAAGTGGGGTCAAACGGCATTCCCTCCCCAGTATAGATGCACCTTGAGAAATGCTGGGACTTCTAGTCCCCAATGTGACATTTCTCAGCTCTCCTTTTTGGAAATTTGCCGAGGATACAGAATAGAAGGTAGCTTATGGCTTATTTATTCTGAAATGAAAGAGGGATGTGTTGGCATCCTGTTGTGCGTGCATTAGGTTCAACTTACTTGTGCCAGTCTGGCAACACATCCATCTTTGGAGCAATCAATAAGGAGGAAGAAGCTGCAAGAATCTGGGACACATTCATAAGGGTTTTAAAACTATATATATATATATATATATATATATATATATATATATATATATACACTCTCTCTCTCTCTCTCTCTCTCTCACACACACACACACACACATATTGAATAGTTGCCATATGTAAAGCAGCCTTGGGTCTCCTTCGAGTAGGGCGGGATACACAGAGAGAGAGAGAGAGAGAGAGAGAGCGAGCGTGTGTATGTATACATACAGTGTCAATTTATGCCTGGAAGCCATTGCAGGGCAAACTCATGGCTAATTAAGTGGACCCGACTCCCATGAATTGATAAATTCCAGGTGGTGGAGTGCTGTTGTTAGACCTGAGCTTTCACAATGATGAAGGGGGGTCGCCGTTGCCTTCTTCTGAGGCCGAGTGTGACTTGCCCAGGGGTACCAGTGGGATTTATGTGGCCGCTGGAGTCCTAGTCCAAACCCGTCCACCGTACAGGATTTGGGGCCTAATGGAACCCATCGTAGAGTGAACTTACTTGTGCCAGTCTGGCAACTCTGCCCGGTTGCCCCAATCCACCACTTTTGGGCACCAGCCCCGTTTCACAGTTTGCTCCTTCCTAAACATTTTGAGGGATGAAGCCACAGATGGAGCCAAGCTGAGAAGATGCTGGAATCGTGCTCTGTGACGGATGCTGGAAGTGGGAGAAAGAGGCCTCTGTCTAGCAAGCGGCCAAGGAGACCTCTGAAGCTACATCCAGCTATGAATAGGGCATTCAGAAACTGCCTGCGGAGCAGAGTTGGAAGAAGCAGAGCTGGGATTTTGGGTCCCCCCGACAGGAAGTTAGCTGCCTCATACTGAAACCAAGGTAAACATTAGAGGTATGGGGTTGGAGGCTCACATTGGAGTCCATCTTGACTTGATAGCATTGAGGGGCCCCAAGAAAACAACCCACTCCTCCACCAGTGTTTGGCTTCCACTGGTATTGAGTTGTGAGCATTCTTTGGCCAAATCACCTCCAAACGGTGCACCGTACTACATATTCCTTTTCTGTAGTATGTGTCTTCCATGTACAATGGGGATCTGCTAGGATTTGGTTGCCAGATCCACTGTGGTTGCCAGAATCCATTGATGCTTGTGTCCCATGATATACAATAATGTTTCTTCCATAGAACGACAGAATCAAGTTCGGGCTTTTTAGGATTTTCTGTATATGGTGGAGGACTGACTGTACTCCATTCTTGCAAGAGTGTGTGTATCCTCTCAAAGAAGTGTCTTGCTAAACTATACACTGCAGGTGTCAATGAAATGGATCCATGATCGTTACAATGGTATCAATCTGGGTTCAACTAAATTTCTGTTGTTGAGTAGAAAAAATCTGGGCAAAGGCTGGCTCCACATCTGGTTTTGTGACCCTCAGCCAATTCAGAACCATAGAGAGCCCAGGGGCATCCAGTCCAGCTCCAGGGCTATTCTGCCATGCAGAATCCAAGCCGTCCCGACACTCTATGTCTGTTGATGCAGATGAGGATCGTGTTGGCTTTTTTTCACTGCTGCATCACACTCCTGCCTCGTATTCAGCTACTAAGACATCTAGATTCCTTTTTTGTGTATTCATGCCAAGCCAGCTGTGGTCCACCCTAGATGTTGACATTACATTTCTTCTGTCTGAGTGTTAGCACCTTTCCTTTCTCCCTGTTGAAATTCATATCATTCGTTCGGGTGTTCCTTCAAGTCATTTTGAATCCTGATCATGTCCTTTGATGAACTAACCACCCCTCTGCATTACGGATCTGAGAATTTGATGGATGGAGCTGACAAAATGTCTGTTGTTGTTGTTATTATTTGTATGTATACCCTGCTTTTTTCTGCCAAAGGATACTCAAAGTGACTATGGTATGCCAAGCTGAATTGCAATAGAGCCCAGGGGCAAGTCCAAGCCCCCCTTTTGGGCACATATAGAGATCCACAGAGGAGCTGTTTTGCCCTCACACTTTCACCTTTGGCCACCTTTCCATTCAAGGTTCTCTTAAAATGCCTGATGTAGAGAAACGTGTTTAACTTCTCATTAACTGAATGCAGGCAGCCTTCACAATGATATGGCAGTGGAGAACTGGGGCTTGTTGATTTTTAAAAGACTGACTAAAAACAGTTGTAGGAATAAGCTTGGCAAGGCTGGCCAGAGCCATTGTTGTTTCCCGTCTTGGGAATCTTCTCTTTGTGGACCTCAAGTAAAATAGTTTAGCCATTTACAAATTCTCCATGCTATTCCTAATCACAGTTTGGAAATGTTCATTTTTTGGACTATAGTTCCCAGAAAGCACCCCTAGCCATGGCCATTTCAGAGATTCTGGGATCTGCAATCCCAAAGAAACTCTTCCACACTCCATCTTCATCCTAAGGGTTATTGTGGTGACTTGTCGGTGCAGCTATACTATAGAATAATAATAATATAATATCATATCACATCAATGATAATAATAATAAAAATACATTTTTAATATTCTGCTCTATCTCTCTGAGGGGACTCAGAGCGGATTACAGTATACACATAAGTAGTCAAACATTCCATGTCTTTTATACAATGACATACAATACGCAAAGGCAAAGGTTTCCCTTTCCATCTCCAGCATCTGAAGGCAATGCTCAATTCTAACCATGGGGACTTGCTCTTGTTCCATTTTCCCTGATGATGAGCCTGTTGTTCGTAGACACCTTCTGGTTGTGTTTGCCGGCATGGCTGCATGGGCGCGTTCCCATGCTATATTACTATATTACTCATATTACACCTGCTCATATTACATCTTTTCGAACTGCTAGGTTGGCAGGAGCTAGGGCTAACAGTGGGAGCTCATCTCGACCTGTGGCTTTGAAGTGCTAGCCTTCCAGTCAGCAAGTTTTTCTGCAGCTAGTTGTTTAATGTGCTGTGCTACCGTGGAATGATGGTAGTGTGGCACCATGGCTCCAGGAAATGAAATCCTGGGAGTTATAATTTTACAAGATCGCGACCCAAGAATGCCTTGCCAAACTACAACACTGATGCACGGGACCATGGCAGTTTGAGTGGGACAACGTAGCATGCATCCTTCAGTGTCGATGCACTTGGTTGTCATGTTTTGTAATGAAATGGTGCGTTGTGCGAAGAATTGCTTTCCAGCTTCTTTCTTGGTTGATTGCTGCAAGACTGTTTATCGTCAAAACCTTTCATGCACTGTGTCTTCTTCTTGCAGGACCACGAGAAGCAATATGTGGGCTTTGCCACCCTCCCCAACCAAGTGCACCGGAAATCTGTGAAGAAGGGCTTTGATTTCACCCTCATGGTGGCAGGTGAGGTATAATAACAATAAAATAATAATAATAATAATAATAATAATAATAATAATAATAATAATAATAACAACAACAATAATAGCAATAATAACACTATGTAATAATTTTTTTAAAAAAAATCTGTTCCTGATTTGAAAGTGTTATTTCCTGTTTAATTCTGCGGTGCTTACTTTGAAAGTAGTGGTTATCCTCCAGAAACTTCTTTTTTGTGGCTGCCACAAACTAGGTTGCATTGGTTGAGACTCGAGGAGATATTGATTGAAAAACTAGAGCAAAATGTGCTGCAGGATGTCCCCTGAAAACAAACTTTTTGCAGTTTAATAAACTTTTATCATGTTTTTATGATATAATCAATTAGGAAATGATATTTATAACCCAGGAACAAAAATCGTGTTACATAGTGTAGTAGTAGTAGTAGTAGTAGTAGTAGTAGTAGTAGTAGTAGTAATATCCCTCTTGGCTCCTTTGAGGCTGGCAATGACCAAGTTCCCTATCTTCCACTGCCACTGTTTTATGCACAAATAAGGTGTCTGAAATGAATCTTTGTGCTATGTGTATTAGGTTCTCTAAGGAACATATGTGCACTTCTGTGTTTAAACTTGGGTGCCATCTCCAAGAAATCTCATTATGGGCAAGGATCTCCAAACTCACAACTCCAGAACACTGGAGGCAATGAAATGCCTGGGAGTTGTCATTTTACAAGGTCAACCACCTTTGGTAACTCGAACTACAACTCCCAGGCTCTCATCATATGGAGCCAGGGCAGTTTAAGTGGCATTGATTTTGCAGTGTAAATGCAGCCCAAGAAGGGAGATGACCCTTATAGGCTTACTCTCTACATGTTTCAGGACTGAGACCTGGTTTAGGGAGCCTCTTTATTCAGCCTGGTTTTGTCCTCATTCCAGCTTCCCATGAGACTCATTAGGTTGGAATTTCCCAAAAGAACAGTGTTTTCTGGATGTACGAGGACAGAGATAAAAAGGAGACCAAATGAAGTCAGATGTTGCCCATTATCTGAGGACGAGACATTCCCAACAAAGAGTTCTTCCACATTGGGAACATCATGTAACTTTTCTTTTGCAGCAAATGCCTTCTCTTGCCATCCAATGTTGCAAATATTTCTCAAGAACGCCTTATGCTTTGTTCCTTAGGAGAGTCAGGCCTGGGGAAGTCGACTTTGGTGAACAGCCTGTTCCTGACTGACCTCTACAAAGACCGGAAGCTTCTCAATGCTGAAGGTACATGTCTTGAGGATGAAAGAAACCCTGTGAGTTGTAGTTTGGGAAGACATGTAGCCATCCTTTCTGCTGCCCTGGAGACTAGACTCAATGGAGCCATGGGTTCAAATGGCAGGAAAGGAGATTCCACCTAAACATTAGAAAAAACAACTTCCTCACTGTAAGAAGAGCTCTCTTGGAGTCTGGTGGAAGTTTTATCATAATATTCTAAACTTATAATAATTCTAGCCTTGCCCTGCCATGCGTTGCTGTGGCTTAAAGTAAGACTTTTTGAAGTAGAGGTAGCTGTCTGGACTATTATGAAAGAAAGGTACCTGCCTATTCCTTGCCCCCTTTTTTCTTTCCTTTCTTCTTTTTCTCCTTTCTTCCTTCTCTACCTCTTTCTTTCATTTCTTCCTTCACTCTTTGTTTCCATCCTTCCTTCTCTCTTCCCTCCCCCTTTCTCTCCTTTTCCCCCTTCTCTCCTTCCTTCTCTCCCTGCTTCCTTCATTCTTTCAGTTTTTCTTTCCTTCCTTCTCTCCTTCCATCTTTCCCTTTTTCCTTCCCTCCTTTGTTTTTCCCTCTTTCCCTCCCTCCTTCTCTCTTTCTTTCCTTCCCCCTTGCCCTCCTTCATTCCTTCCCTCTTTTCCTCCCTGCCTTCTTCTGTCCTTCCTTCCCATCTTCCTCCCTCCCTCCCTCCCTTCCTTCCATGTTAGGGAAGTCTTGGCTTTAGGGGTGCCTCCTGTTGTTTCTCCTTCCTGTTGCCTTCTGCCTTCCCCTTTGGAGGCTTTTAAACAGAGGGACCATGGCCATCTGTCGGAGGTGCTTTGAATGTGCTTTTCCTGCCTGGCATGGGGTTGTACTAGATGGCCCATGCTGTCTCTTCCAACTCTAGAATTCTGCTATTCTTTCCACCCTCTTGGACCGGAGACAGATAAAAACCATGTCAAACTACAACTCCCAGGATTCCACTGAACTCTGGAAGTTCAAGTGGGATCAAATTGCATTCATTTATAGTACAGGTGCAAACACCAGTTACAGATGTCAAGAGAAACATCATCACAGAGGACATGTTTCAGATTGTAGGATATAGATGAGAAAGATTCTTGACATTCATTATATTTAAAGGTTGACAGTATATATTTTAGGTCTGAATGGATATGTTGTGCCATTATACTTTGTTAGCCACTTTAAGAAAGTGGGATACAAATACTATCAGTACATTAACATTTAGGCTGATGGGAGCGTGGGAAAGTTATCTCAGATGCTAATCTCCCTTCTGTTCTATTTTTTAAAAAAACCTTTGTATATTAAGAAAGAATCAGTCAGACAGTCGAGATTGTGAAGCACACAGTGGACATTGAGGAAAAGGGGGTGAAGCTGAAGCTGACGATAGTCGACACTCCGGGTTTTGGAGATGCTGTGAACAACACCGAGTGGTAAGTCCTCTTCCTACGCTGGCCATTTGTAACGTAAGATCACAAATGGTCAGATCTCTTTGTCTTTAGAATCTTTTATCCCACCCCTTTGCTCTCTGAAATGACAATTTCAACTAGTGGTTCTCACCAAACCCCTCAATCATTTTTTTCTATTGAAAACAATATGCAATGATTTCACATATCCACATGAAGTCCAGAAACGTATCCACTGTGGATAAGGGGGTCGTGCTGTATCAAAAGTATACCTATCGCCCCAACTAGTTCAAGGCTGAAGGCCTACTTGGATAGGAAGTTCTTTGGAAGATCTCTGCTGATGGAAAGAGAGCAGAGAGGGGCCAGTCGGGCTTCCCTTGAGAGGGAATTCCATAGTTTAGGAGTTCTCGCTGAGAAGGCTCTGTCCCATGTTCTCACCAGACCTCTCAAATTATTATTATTATTAATATTATATGTCTTTGTACCCCACTTTTTATCTTCCAAAGACTGAGCTTTGAGCAAGTTCACATGGAGAGACAACTTTCAGGTGCATGATGAAACATTACACCCGCCTATGTCCCCAACTGAATTTCGGCTTATATGTTTTAATATTGCCTATGGTGGTCACCTGTGGATGATGGACCTCTGTTCTCTGTTAACATGTGAGGATGGCATGCTCTCCCTGATAATGTCCAGTGACATCCCTAGGGGGTGCGAACTGTACTGGGTGACACCATCCATTATTGTTGTTAATAATAATAATAATAATAATAATACACTTTATTTATATTCTGCTCTATCTCCCCAAGGAGACTCAGTATACACATATATAGGTAAACATTCAATGCCTTTTATACAGTGAGCAATGACCTACAATACACAAACAAAAGCAAAGGTTTCCCTTTCCATCTCCAGTGTCTGAAGGCAATGCTCAACTCTGGCTGTGGGGAGATGCTCTTGTTCCTTTTTTCCATGCTGAGGAGCATGTTGTCCGTAGACCCTCTCGGTCGTGTTTGCCGACATGGCTGCATGAGTGCCTTTTACCTTCCCGCTGGGGCAGTACCTATTGATCTACTCACATTACATATTTTTGAATTGCTAGGTTGGCAGGAGCTAGGGCTAACAGCAGGAGCTCACCCCGACCTGCAGCTTCAAACTGCTAACCTTCCAGTCAGCAAGTTTTTCTGCAACTAGCAGTTTAACCCGCTGTGCTGCAGAATAATATATAATATTAACAACAACAACAATATATTATTATTATATTCTATAATATATTATATATTTATTTTTCATTTACATGTATATAACAATACAGCACACATGTATTGGTCCAAGTGTCTGGGGTTCGTCTCTGAATATCGGGCTCTTCCCAAGGGCCTAGGATATTAGAGGTATTTTTGTAGGATGTGCGCAGTTCTAAGAAGTGTTGCCTTCTGTAGCATGTGGATTGGTGTTCTGTGCAAATTAAGGCTTTTCAAATGTTATTCGAGGTTTCTTGGAATGCCTCCAAGAGCACCAACCACTATTGGTACCACTGTTGTTCTCTTTTGCCATAATCGTCCAATTTCAACATGTAAGTCCTTGTATTTTGGGATCTTTTCCAGCTCCTTGTCCTCTACTGTCTCCTGGTACTTTAATGTCTATCACAAAAGCATGTTTATTTTCCATAACTATTATATCTGGTGTGTTATGTGGAAGATGTTTATCTGTTTGGATTCTAAAAGCCCAGAGTGTTTTTGCTTCTTTGCTTTCCGTGGTCTTTTCCAGCTTGTGCTCATCCCAGGTTTTACTGCAGAGTAGGCCATACTTCTTGCAAAGGTTTCAGTGCACCATTGCTGGTAGCCTGTTGTTGTTGCTGTTGCTGTTGCTGTGGTGGTGGTGTTTATTTATATCCTTCTTTTTATCTCCACAGGAGACTCAAAGCAGTTTACATTAAAACATTTTAATACAATTTAAAAATATTAAAATATTAAAACAGAATTAAGTATCATTAGTATTAAAAACAATTCAGTTAAAACACCATCCAACGGGGTGTCTGTATGCAACACAAGCACATACACTTTGGTTTTAGGGCTGTTGTTTGTGTTTTAATAGTCCCTGATGTTGTCAATTTTTCTAGTATTTTCACTGCAATATTGCGACATGGCCTAATATAGGAGGAGATCCATGAGGGCGACACCATGAGTTGCCACACTGGGTGACACCAACCCTAGGAATGCCATTGGCAAGATCTGCCAGCCCCAATTGGGCTGCTGGTTTGACACCAGGTTAAAATCTTTCTCCAAACCCAAGCATTTGATGGGACGGGATCAGCCCACTTTCCATAATGCAGTGTTTCTCAACCTTCCTAATGCTGCGACCCTTTCATACAGTTCCTCATGTTGTGGTGACCCCCACCATAAAATTATTTTAATTGCTACATAACAGTAATTTTGCTGTTGTTGTAAATCGTAATGTAAATATCTGATATGCAGGATATATTTTCATTCACTAGACCAAATTTAGCACAAATAACTGATACACCCAAATTTGAATACTGGTGAGATGGGGGAATTGATTTTGTCATTTAGGAGTTGTAGTTGCTGGGATTTGTAGTTCATCTACAATCAAAGAGCACTCTGAACTCCACCAACAATGGAATTGAACCAAACTTGGTACACAGAACTCCCATGACTAACAGAAAATACTGGAAGGGTTTGGTGGGCATTGGCCTTGAGTTCTGGAGCTGTACTTCACCTACATCCAGAGAGCACTGTGGACTCAAACAATGATGGATCTGGACCTAACTTGGCATGAATACTCAGTATGCCCAAATAGGAACACTGGTAGAGTTTGGGGAACATAGACCTTGACATTTGGGAGTTGTAGTTGCAGGGATTTATAGTTCACCTACAATCAAAGAGCATTCTGAACCCCACCCATGATAGAATTGGGCCAAACTTCCCACACAGAACCCCCATGACGAACAGAAAATACTATGTTTTCTGATGGTCTTTGGCGACCCCTCTGACACCCCTCGCAACCCCCCCCCCAGGGGTTCCAACCCCCAGATTGAGAAACGCTGCCCTAATGGCTTATCCCCATACCCTCTTAGCATTGCGAGGTGATTTGGGGTTATATTTCATACGTTTCATCTCCATTGCTTTTGTGTACTGTGTCGTGGGTTTGTGCCAAAAAAAGAGGGCATCTAAGTAGCTGAATAATAACAGTAATGATGTTTGCAAAGCCATCTGGGTAAATATCTTCATCGCCTTTTTGTTCTGCTTTGCTTCAGCTGGAAGGCTATCACGGATTACATTGATCAGCAATTTGAGCAGTATTTCCGGGACGAGAGTGGCCTCAACCGGAAGAATATTCAAGACAACCGCGTGCACTGCTGCCTGTATTTTATCTCACCCTTTGGCCATGGGTAAGATGGGGATGGGTCCTTCTAGATCAGTGGTTCTCAACCTTCCTAATGCCGCAACCCTTTAATACAGTCCTCATGTTGTGGTGACCCCCAACCATAATTTTTTTGTTACTACTTCATCAATGTAGTTTTACTACCGTTATGAATTTTAATGTAAATATCTGATATGCAGGATGTATTTCCATTCACTGGACCAAATTTGCCTCAAATACCCAATACGCTCAAATTTGAATACTGGTGGGGTTGGGGGGGGGGCGTGATTTTGTCATTTGGGAGTGTAGTTGCTTGGATTTATAGTTAACCTATAATCAGAGAGCATGCTGAACTCCACCAACGATAGAATTGGGCCAAACTTCCCACACAGAACCCCCATGACCAACAGAAAATACTGGAGCGATTTGGGAGGAATCGACAGTAATTTAGGGCAGATGTAGTTCATCTGAAACTAGCCCACAATGGATCTGCATCAAACTTGGCACACTACCTACATGGGGCTGTTTTTGAATTCTGGGAGTTGTTGTTCACCAACACTCAGAATACACTCTGTACCAAACTGGTAATGGAACTAGCAAACTTGCCACACATACCCAACATGCCAAACTTTGAATACTGGTGAGATTTTGAGGGGACTGACCTCAGAGGTTGGGAGTTATAGTTCACCCACATTGACAGAGCAATGTGCACCCAGCTGATGGATATGGACCAAACTTGGCAAAAATACCCAATATGATCAACTTTGAATACTGGTGGGATTTGGGGGTGATTGACCTTGGCATATGGGAATTGTAGTTCACCCACATCCAAGGAGCACTGAACCCAGCTGACAACGGATCTGGACCACACTTGGCACACAGACTCAACATGGACAACTGTGAATACTGGTGGGATTTGGGGAGTTGTAGTTCACCCACATCCTTATGCATTTTCTAATTGGAACATCAATAAAAAAACAAAAGGAAAGACTGGCTTTATCTAATAAATAACATTACAGATTACCTAAGCTGCTTCTGCTGCTCTTCCTGATGCTGCTGGGCCACTCCCAGTCCAACATCACACAGGCGCATTTTCCCCTGCCTTGAAGGGACTTGCTGGTGTGAGTCTCCCTCCAGCCTTGTGCACTCTCCCTCGCCCATGCATGCGCAGCACATTTCCATGCACCGAACACACCTGCTCTCCCCTCCCTGCTTGGAGTCTCAGAAACAGCCCTCCTCTTGGCTGAGAGGCCACCTGAGAGGCTGGCCAATCACAGCAGAAGGGGGGCTATTGGTGGGAGGATTCACTGTTTCCAAAAAGGAAGAGAAGGATAGGTAGAGAGATCGTCAACCTTCTCTGTCAAAGGGATTCCTAAGACCATCATAAATATGTGTTTTCTGATGGTCCTTGGCGACCCCTCTGAAACCCCCTCGAGACCCTCCCCAGGGGTCCTGACCTCCATATTGAGAAACACTGTTCTAGATGCTTACAGATGGTTTCCCATCTCCATGCCAAGGCATCGAGGACATAACCAGGAGAGAGATGGGTTTGGCAGGTAATTTGCTCCCACCAATTTGTTTTGGGAACATAAATGCTTTGTTTGGGTAGACTCAATGCTTCCATTCTTTAGGACTTTATCACGTGAGGGAGGCAAACCGGCACTGAACCTGAAACATCACCTTTGGTGATGTTCCTTATTGCACAATGGCGTGTACTTCCTACTGTTGATCTGCCTATTCCCCAGTAATTATCCCATCCTCAGCTATTAAAGGGAAAAACCCATTGATAGCTTGAAATCCCGCAATGTTCCTGGTGTGATGGAGCTGTTCTGCTTCTGTGCTGACATGGCAGCACTGAAGTGACATCAGGGGCTGAGATTCTTGTCCTCAATGAGTCTCCCTCCTTCCTCTCACCATTCCCAAGCTGGTTCTATGTGTCTTTTTCTTTTACGAACCATACCTGGGGTTGCAACATATATATATATATATATATATATATATATATATATATATATATATATATATATAAATCAAAGCAGTGCAAGTGCGAGATGGCTTGTTTACGATAGGATGTGAAAGTCTCAATGTGGGACCGCAGATGCATGCTTGGAAAGGAGTGTGCTAATGAGGGGCTCATGTTGCTGCTTATGGAATAGCAGCTTTATGTGATAAAGTCCTGACTCTCTTTGAATCAAAAGCAAGAGAAAAGGCATTAGCCTCACTGTTTTCTTTCGTTGTTCTTTCCCCCCTTTTCTCTGGTCCAGGTTGAGGCCGGTTGATGTGGAGTTTATGAAGGCACTGCACGAAAAAGTGAACATTGTGCCCCTCATTGCCAAAGCGGATTGCCTCGTTCCGTCTGAGATCAAGAAGCTAAAAGAGAGGGTGAGTCGGCGTGAGATGGCTGAGCAGAGTAGTAGAGTCACTACTTCATCCCTTTCAGCCCTTCAAAGGGAGGAAGTAGTGACTCTGTCACTGAGCTTAGTTTTTTTGGCCTTCCTCTGAGCCCGAGAGTGTGTGACCTGATTTGAACCCTGCTCTGCAAAGTCATAGTCCATGGCTCAAACTGTGATGCCATGCTATTTTATACACCTGGGATTTGTTGGAATTATCATTTTCAGCATTTATCTCCTGCTGTGCTCAAGGAAGCTCATGGTATCATTGGAAACCAAATTTTAAACATACTATAATCATCACTCATCCAAAGTGTCTGGAACGGACCTCCTTTTAGTCTAAATGCTATTGTGTTCTTCTGTGCAGATCCGGGAGGAGATTGACAAATTTGGAATTAAGGTTTACCAGTTTCCAGAGTGCGATTCGGATGAAGATGAGGACTTCAAGCAACAAGACAGAGAACTAAAGGTGGGGAAGGAGTCAACATACATACATACATACATACATACATACATACATACATACAAGACTGGGAAGAGAGAAGGTTATGTGGACGATGGAATCTGGAATTGCTGGGGAAAAAAAAGACTAAAACTAAAACCTGACTTATCAGGTACAGGTTGAAGACGTCATCTCAGATTTCTATTTTATGTATGCTGTTTGTTCCCACCCCCCTTGAACTACCATTGCTCAATGCGATGAAATCGTTGTAGTTTCGCAAGGCACAAGACCTTGTAAAGCTACACCTCCCTGGACTCCATAGCATTGAGCCGTGGCAGTGGTGTCAAACATCTTTCCCTACTGGGTTTCAGCTACATCCTCCTTGTGAAAATTTTGGGGGGATGATAGCTGTTGTAGTTTATTGTCTTTTTCTTACTATTAGAGCCTTGAAGGTGGGGGAAATGGTTGGCAAAAGGGTCCAACGATGTATCAGATATGGGATGGATTTTGTGCCTTTTCCTCATGGAGCAAACTCTTCACATATGTCTTGGTGAGGGCTGATGTGGGTTCGACTGCCATACATGAACTCAATCCAGACATGAATCATAGTTGGAAGAGACCTCGTGGGCCATACAGTCCAACCCCATTCTGCCAAGAAGCAGGAAAATCACATTCAAAGCACCCCCCACAGATGGCCATCCAGCCTCTGTTTAAAAGCCTCCAAAGAAGGAGCCTCCACCACACTATGGGGCAGAGAGTTCCACTGCTGAACAGCTCTCTCTCACAGTTAGGAAGTTCTTCCTCATGTTCAGATGTAATCTCCTCCCTTTCCTGTAGTTTGGCGTCTCCAGGGCAGCAGAAAACAAGCTTGCTCCCTCCTCCCTTTGACTTCCCCTCACATCTTGATACATGGCCATCATGTCCCCTCTCAGCCTTCCCTTCTGCTGGCTAAACATGCCCAACTCTTTAAGCTGCTCCTCATAGGGCTTGTTCTCCAGACCTTTGATCATTTGAGTCGCCCCCTAGCTTGTCGACATCTCCCTTCAATGGCAGTGCCCAGAATTGGACACAGTGTGATTCCAGGTGTGGTCTGACCAAGGCAGAATAGAGGAGTAGCATGACTTCCCCGGATCTAGGCACTCAACTCCTATTTATGCAGGCCAAAATCCCATTGGCTTTTTAAGCTGCCACGTGACATTGTTGGCTCATGTTCACCTTCCTCCTCATGAGAACTCCAAGATCCTTTCCCCACACACTGCTGTCAAGACAGGCCTTGGCCCCCATTTTGTATCTTTGCATTTTTTTCTGCCTAAGTGGAGTATCTTGCATTGGTCTCTGTTGAACTTCATTTTGTTAGTTATGGCTCATCATCTCTCTAATCTGTTAAGACAAAGGAGTCGTAGCCCAAAATGACAAATTCCTCATCTCCTGTTTCAGGAAAGCGCTCCCTTTGCTGTCATTGGTAGCAACACGGTGGTCGAAGCCAAGGGTCAGAGGGTACGGGGCCGCCTCTATCCCTGGGGCATTGTGGAAGGTAAGCGCTGGTCTCCAAAGCTAAACAGGTTCCCAGTGAAACCTGCACCTACATTGTAGAATGAATGCAGTTTGACACCAATTGAACTGACCTGGCTCAGTGATTTGGAATCCTGAGATGTGTAGTTTGGGGCAGAGAAAGCTAGAGAAACAGCAACTCCTCAAATCCATCGCATTGAGCCATAGGAGTTCAAGTGAGGTCAAGCTGTGTTCGTTCTACAGTATTGATGCACCCTGAGGTGCTGCAGTGCATGGGCGCAAACACTAGGGGGCAGGCGCCATAGTCAAAACGGCAGTATTGTGAAAGGGATAGGTGTAATCTCCACTGGCAATAAATATGATTTTAAACTCATGCTCTTTGTTTAATCTCTGTTTTGTGTATTTTAATATGTATTTTATAGAAATACATTTTAATATGTATCTTTTATAGAAATACATTTTAGTATTTATTTATTTACAGTATTTATATACCGCTTTTCTCACCCCTGGGGGGTGTCAAAGCAGTTTATACAGAAATAGTGGCAAAATTCAATGACTTACAAACATACACCAAATTACAGTCAACACCATAACTAAGTAAAAAATTAGTGGGACAATTCATCATAAGATATAATAAAAAGACATTTAAAACATGAAATATAAGAATTTAAACACCTAATAAAAACATTAAAATCATGTGATCCAAGCACGTAGATCGTATTATGTGTATTTGTGGCATTTTTACAGTGTTTATGTGTTTTAATTATTCTGTAACATGCCTTGAGCCACGAGGAGAGGTGTGGCTCGAGGAAATTAAATTATTATTATTATATTGTTATTATTATTATTATTAGTACTAATATTACTATAGTTTCTATATTACCTATACCTATCTCCCTATGATTCCAAAATAATACATTTATTCCTCCAATTTGCAAGTTTGATACTTCTAGATTTCATTATCCACTAATTTGATCAATACAATGATAATAATAATAATAGTAATAATAATATTTTTTAAAAAAACTGTATTTATTTCCTGCACCTGTCTCCCTGAATGGCAAACATTCAATGCTGTAATAAATTCAATTTTATAGGATCCTGTGTCCCTTACCCTCGTGAATGTGGAGGGCCTACTGTGTATCATTTAGAAAGAAAATATTCTATAATCCATTTCTCTCCCCACCCCCAATCTCTGTTCCTTGCTTCCAGTGGAAAACCAAGCGCACTGCGACTTCGTGAAGCTGCGGAACATGCTGATCCGGACACACATGCATGATCTGAAGGACGTGACTTGCGACGTTCACTATGAGAACTACAGAGCACAGTGTATTCAGCAGATGACCAGGTGGGTCCCCCTGATGCCTGTTGGTTGGGCTCGCTGGGGATGATAGGAGCTGAGATCTAGTCCACAACAAGTTGTCTGTTGTGGAATGATGGACCCTGCATGAACCAGCCCTTTGTTTGTGGGTGGGCAAAGCCTTGCCTTCCAAACACTTTTGACTTCAGCTCCCATCAGCTACAGCCCTCATGGGATGATGGCAGTTGTGATCCAAAATGTCTGTAGGGTCAAATGTATTGCATCCAAAGCTATCCAAAGTGTCTAGAGCAGTGTTTCTCAACCTGTGGCTCCCCAGATGTTTTGGCCTTCAACTCCGAGAAATCCTAACAGTTGGTAAACTGGCTGGGATTTCTGGGAGTTGTAGGCCAAAACACCTGGAGACCCACAGTTTGAGAACCACTCGTCTAGAGAGTCAAATGTATTGCAGGTGTCTCCTTCGAGAGAGGTAAAGCGGCGTATAAATAAATATCTGCTTTTCTTAGACCTCTCAGTGGCTTTTGATACAATCGACCATTCCTTCTGGACCATCTTGTGGAAATGGGACTTGGAGGCACTGTGCTACAGTGGTTCTGGTCCTTCTTAGAGGGTTGGGTCCAGAAGGTGTTGTTGGGGGACTCTTGCTCGACCCCATGGCCTTTGTCTTGTGGGTTCAATCTTGTCTCCCATGTTGTTTAACATCTACATGAAGACGCTGGGAGAAATCATCCAGAGTTTTGGAATACAGTGCCATCTGTACACAGATGATGTCCAACTCTCTTAATCATTTCCACCCAGTGCCAAGGATGCCGTCCGGACCCTGAACCGGTGCCTGCCAGCTGTGATGGACTGGATGAGGAGGCACAAATTGAAATTGAATCCAGACAAGACGGAAGCACTACTGGTCAGTCATAGGGCTGATCAGGGTATCGGGTTGCAGCTTGTGCTGAATGGAATCACACTCCCCCTGAAGGCGCTGGTTCGCAGTCTGGGGGTCCTCCTGGACTCAACACTGACCCTGGAGGCCCAGGTGTCGGCGGTGACTGGGAGGGCCTTCATACAGTTAAAGCTCATGCAGCAGCTGCACCCATACCTTGAAAAGCATGAGCTGGCCATTGTGGTACACACCTTAGTCAAATCCAGAATAGACTACTGTAATGTGCTCTACATGGGCTTGCCACAGAAGAGAGTTCCAAAACTGCAGTTGGTACAAAGGTCAGCTGCCAGACTGTTGACAGGAGTGGGGTACAGGGAAAGAACTACTCCACTCCTGAAGCAGCTACACTGGCTTCCAGTTAAGTCCTGTCGTCTCTGACTCTGGGGGTTGGTTCTCATCTCCATTTCTAAGCCGAAGAGCCGGTGTTGTCCATAGACACCTCCAAGGTCATGTAGCCGGCATGACTGCGTGGAGCGCCGTTACCTTCCCGCTAGAGCAATACCTATTGATCTACTCACATTTGCATGTTTTCAAACTGCTAGGTTGGCAGAAGCTGGGGCTAACAGCGGGAGCTCACGCCACTCCCCGCATTAGAACCTGTGACCTTTCGGTCAGCAAGTTCAGCAACTCAATGCTTTAACCCATTGGACCCCATGCAGATACTGAAATCTATGGATGTGGAAGCCCCATTATAACACAGGATCCCTTGTATAAAATGGGTTGAGTGCTGGAGAGAGCCTATGGATCGCTACCATTTTCTAGCGACATCTAGTGGCGGGATCGTGGTCCTGCTAATATCCTGGTGCTTTCCCCAGTTACAAGTCAGGACCGCACAATTAAACAGAAAATAACACTTTCAAACCAGGAACAGATTTCTTTTTCAAATTTTGTTACATAGTGTTATCAATCTCACAGTTTCACATTTGGGAAAGTAACTGTTAATATCTGAAGCGTGAGGTGGGTCTTTTAAATTGCTGTCCCCATGTGCAGGCGGTTGTGCAAAATATCATGGTACAACTGTCTAGCTTGGAGAGGAGATGGAATTCAGATCTATTTTCCTTCCTTCTCCCCTTTTCTTTTCCCGCCCCCCTTCAGTAAGCTGACTCAGGACAACCGGATAGAGAGTCCAATTCCAATCCTGCCCCTTCCAACCCCAGATGCCGAAACGGAGAAGCTGATCAAGATGAAGGATGAAGAAGTAAGGCTCTGCTTTTGCCTTTGGCCACTTGAGATATTGCCATGGTTTCATGGACCGTAGAACAGCTTTAGGGAAGGAAACGTTTTGTGTTGCCCCCTTTGCTTTAGTAAACATGCAGTGACCTTCAGAGAGCCAGTGTGGTTTAGATACTGGATTGGGACTTGGGAGATCAGGTATAAGTCCCCAGTAAGCCATGAGTCCATCACAGTGTCTCAACTTTATTACAAGGATAGAGAGCAGAGGAGGAGATGATATTGTGGGTATCAGAGTAAATAACTAGTAAGAATAACAATATACCTTATTTATATCCCACTCTATCTCCCCGAGGGGACTCAGAGCGGATTACGGAATACATTCATTTATAAAATTAACAAAGACAGATAGACAATATATAGACAGAGGCAAGGCTTCCCTCTCTCTGGCATCTGGAGGCTGTGCTTAAGTCGGCCATAGGGAGGTGCTGATGCTCCATTTTTCCATGCCAGGCATTTGTGGACGACTTTTCGTGATCAAATTGCCAACATGTCTTCAGGGGCACCTTTTACCTCCCCGCCAAAGCAGTACCTATTTATCTATTCACATTGCTGTTTTTGAACTGCTAGGTAAGCAGAAGCTAGTGCTAATGATGGGAACTCACCCTCCCCGTGGCTTGAACTGCCAACCTTCTGGTTGGCAAGATTTTCTGTAGCTGGTGGTTTAACCCGTTGTGCTAACCACAGCCCCTAAGGAAAGCATCTGAGCTGGGTCAAGCTGAAGACATTGTCCAGTGGAGGGTGGCCAAAATGGTCCAAGATTCAAGAGGAAGGGCTCAGGGAATAGTATGTTTAGGTGGGAGAAGAGGAAACCGAGAAGCCATACAATATGCAGCCTTTATTGGCATACAAGAACCAAATCACAACACAGGCATATACAGCAAGAGGAAGCTGCAGATAAAAAGAAAAGCATTCATAAGAGTTACTAATCTCAAAAATAACATTTGCAACAGCCTCACAAAAAATGCATCAGAAAAAGGCGAGCCATGGAGGGTGGTAGGCTTGCCTTCTTTAGAGATCTTCAAACAGATATACAATGGGCATCTTTCAGGCTTACTTTAACAGGTTGCTCATGTAAGTCAACGGATCAGACTAGGTGGCCCTTGTGGGTCAAACCAGATGGACTAGGTAGCTTTTGTTGGTTGGGCCAGATGGATTTGGTGGCTCTTGCGGGTTGGATCAGATGACTCTTCGCTCTTTGTTTTCTTGTCACAGTTGCGGCGAATGCAAGAAATGCTGCAGAAAATGCAGCAGCAGATGCAAGACCAGTGACCTGGACACCGGGACGGAAGGGTCCAGGAGGTCATCCTTGTCCCAGTTGACTGTTCATCAGGAATCGTGGACTCGCCGGGAAGGACTTTCTCATTGCAGAAAACAAAACAAAACAAAGACTCGTGAACAAGGGTGAAACCTACTCCCTCTCTCTAATTTGATGGTAGCCATTCTTTGTTAGTAGGACGACGAAGAGATGGGAGGGGAACCTGCTGACTGGCCATTCACTGAAAAGCCCCTCCCGTCTTCAGAATATCCCCCCTCCCTCGACTGTTTCCCCCCTCTTTCCTAGATGTACTAAACTCTTGTTAGGGAGCATCCTGGTATTTAAAAGACAACGATCGCTGTTTCTATGGGATATGAATTTTGAGGACTCTGTGAAAATGCACGTAAATGTTTACTCTTAACCAAGGTGCTGTAATCTCCCTCCTGCCCCCACAAATACATCCCCTTTTGAAAAATTCCCCAACTTCTCTAAGGTCATAGCAAATTCCTGCGAGGCCAGTGTTACCTCTGGGGACAATATATATTATATATATTTCAGAAATGGGGGAATGGATGAAGAGACCCGGCCGCTTTGATCTTGTGCCTGAGGCATTCCCTTTATTGCTCTTGGTTTCTTTTTTTCCAGCCACTTTGAGAGAACAGGCAGAATGCTGGTTGGCATTTTGTAGGGCAGAGAGGTAGGCATGTCAGCGTTTTCCCTCAAAACATTCCTGGTGGATTTCCCCTTCCTCTCATTAAAAAAACCAACAGCACTTTGACATGAGTGGAAGGAAGAGCGAAAGGAGATCTTTTGTACGAGAGAATCGTACCAAACAGCATCCACTGCCCTTGCTTGAGGAGAGATGTGCCGCCGCTGAACGAATGGCGTGTGGGTGACATGCTCTTCTAACTGAAAGGTTCGAAAAAGGGGGTTCCGTTGAGGTTTAGCCTCCTCTTGTCCTGTGGACCCATCCTTCAGAATTCAGAAACTGAATTTGGAGAAAGCGGCAGGACTTGGACTGGTGCATATCCAGTGCCTCGGCACTTTGTTTCGGTCCCCAAACATGGAGGCTGGAGTGAAATGTGTGTGTCTGCTTGGCTACAAGTGGTGTTGTCAGCATTGGAAGTGTGTTGCCGAACTCTGTGTCGCTTCAGGCAGCCCTACAGTGTGAATGTTTGCCATGTAAAGCTTTTGCGTGCTTCTTTGCTTGTTTCATTCTGTCATGCTGTTCCATGGCGTCTGAAGGTTAGAAGAGAAAGCTAACAATGTGACTTGAGTCCACAGTGCAAGGACCCTGTGTGCAAAAGATGCATGGCGCCATGGAAGTGATCGAGTGTCAAAATAGGCAGTACGGTACAACCTCCTTATCCACAGATTCGATATCCACAATTTCACTTACTCAAATGTAGGGTTTGTATTATCCACGCTCTCAGGCATCCATAGTGTGTGTGTGTCTTTGTGTCTTGGAACATATCGACTGTGGATATGGATACTGTATGGCACATAGGCAAAGCCAAGTGAAACTGTATGAGGCTGGACTGCTTTTTTTGCTGTAAGATAACATGGACAAATCCTCATTCTCTGATGCATGGACATAGAATCATAGAATCCTAGAGTTGGAAGAGACCTCAAGGACCATCCAGTCCAGCCCCATTCGGCCATCCAGGGACACACTATCAAAGTCCTCCTGACAGATGGGCATCTAGCCTGTGCCTAAAAAACTCAAGAGAAGGAAAGTGTTTAATACCTTGCATCCCAAAGTCCACATTCCGCCCGAGAGAATGCAAACTCTTGCTTCAGCACTGAAGACGTGGGAAGTGAGGGAGGGAGTTAGACTTCTCTCATGCCTTCCCTTGATCTTACAGCATTCAAATACTCAGAATTAACAAAGCCACAAATATCAGAGTTCCATCAGATGGAATCTATGCTGCTGGTAGAAGCTGTAGATCATTGTCCTGAAATAAACCTAAGTTGGTTGTCCAACCTAAGCGGAACAACTGTTTTCTGGAAGGTGGGATCCATGGCTTTGGATGAATCTCTCTACAAGGAGACCAGACAAAGGATATGCCCCCACCCTCAGAAAGCAGAGGGACCTGTTGAAGAGAGATTAGCATGCTCTCTTACTATGGCTGCGGCTGCATTTCACTTCTGTGCTACTTTCATGCTAATCTTACGCCCCAGGAGGAGAACTGCTGGTGGTTTGCTCTCTCCTGATAAGGCTATTTGCTGAAGGAGAACAAGGCAACCAGTGCAACCACACTACAGCCATATGTCCATATGTGACCAAGACATTGCTTGGTGGCGTTTTCTCTCTCTCTTGGAAGTCCTACTGTGGTTGAAGACTTCTAAAACTTATAGTCCCAGAAAAGAATGTTTTCAAATTGTGTCCAGTATATGGTGCAAGGAAGCCAGATGATATGAGGCCAATCTGAAGGCTAGTTCTTTCTTTTATATTGGTGGTATGTTTTCCAGCAAGAACTGGTCGGTCTCGGGTTTAAGTCCAGTTAAAAAGGGTCATGGAGATGTGAAGACTAGATTGAAACTTTGCTTAGGGCAGGCAGGGTTAGGGTAGATGGAGAGCTCATCTCACCTTGTGATGGTAGAATAAGGAAAAAGCATGGTATGGAGGTGGCACCACTTTTGGTTTGGCCAATCCTGAAAACATTAGCAAGTCTTTTCCTTTCCGGGTTGTTTTGCTTGCACCATCAATACTGCTTCTCCTAGGCATTGTGCTTCATGCAACAACTCTACTGGAGTTTTTGCATGAATAGCTTGGTAAGTGTTGACATCTTTCTGACACACGTAGTATCGATCTGTTGTCCTCTCCATCCTGAAGGGCTGACAATGCTGTTCTGGTGCCTTGTTATAAACGATAAGTTACTGGGAATAGGGGGAGTATGCTTCCATTACTGTTGGTTTTGCTCCCTGACTGTTTGGTTTCTCTTGGCAGGCGGCTGGAAGGCATAATAGGGCAGATATTATGGAAACTCAGTTCAAGGAGTGGCTTGGGCATTTCATCAAGACATCCCATAATTTTACTTTTCGCTTCCCATAATTTGAGCACCGCATGTTGAATGACAGTCACCCATGCATTCGTTGCGTTCCCCGACAGGGCCCGGCCCGTGCACTTCTAGACTCCCTTCTGTTGGCACTCAAAGTGTGTACTTATTTGTGTTGTGTTGTGTTTGGAAATCTGTCTGGTAGTGGTGGTGGTGGTGTGAGTGTGTGTGTGTTGGGGGGGCAAGCCTTGTGTTTCCATGAGTAAAAGTGGGAGGTTGGCGGGAGCGGGGCGCGGTCTTGGGGTGTCGTGTGCCTCCCTCAGAGAGGCAGTGAGCCTGTAACTTTCTTTTTTTATGGTGTGTGTCCATGTGCCGGCTTGCCTCTGTGGCCGGCACTTGGCTCCTTGACGGTACTAGCTTTGTGCTTGTTCTCACAGGTTGTTTCGCATGCCTTTTCAACGTTTTTGTTGTGACCCGGGGAAAGGGGGAGGGGGTCGTTTCCCCGTGCCATGTGCTGGTTTCTTGCCTTCCTTTGGGCTTCCCCCACCGCCCTTGTGGCAGCCATGTTGTAAACCGCGGCTTTGTTGCTCCCGCTTCTGTGACACCCAAGCTTGCCTTGCTCCGTTCTGTACCTTCTTTCTGTTTTGTTTTTGTAAATTTCGGGACATTTTGTCATTGTGATCAAAGAGAACAGAACCTTTTAAATATCTCCATTTTATTAAAATTATGATAATTATTAATATAATGTTTACTATCTGAACTGATCAATGAAGTAAACTAAATCAAAAAACCCAGACAAACTATGCATCCTTGTTTTTTTATTACTCTGTTGCATTCACAACTGTAATAACACCCACAAAAAGAGCTGAGATGCTACCTCATATGGGGGTGATGGTGCTACATATCTCTTGTGCATCATAGCGACGTTGCACAACGGAACCAAGACTGAAACCACCAAATGCACATGCTCACCTATGCACAATGTGCCTCTGTGTGTAATGGTTACACATGTGCACTGAAACTCTGTTCCTGAATGTGGCTTTTCCATGTCAGAGAAAAATATCCAGTCATTTCCATAAGGGAATGTGTGAATATGGAAGACCACAGTAGATGTCTCTCTAAAGCGTGTCTTTTTAAAAAAATGTCTGCAGGACCAGGGCCTGACTCTCCAATGGACTTCACCCATCTCCAAACATTGCAGATGGGATGTATTTTGAGAGAAGGAAGGAAGGAATTTAAATAAAACTTTTGGGAGTGAGAGTGAAAAATGCATAACCCAATAGCCTTTTCAGGGGGCAAAATGCCCTCACCTGCACAGTTTCATGCAGAAATGGAATTGACGTTTTAGATAAAGGTCTGGGAAAGGGACAGAGTGACAGAAAGGAAAGTCATTCACAACTGAAAGAGTAATAGCGCAACTGGGACCAAGCCAAGCCCCCACCAAGAAAGTGAATAAAGGCAAAAATCAACCAAGGGAACAAGAACCAGGTGCCAGGCAGGCATTTCCAGAGTGAAAATGTAGACCTGATTGTAAACCGAAGAGTGTCCTAATGAAGTGTGTATTTATGGTTGTTTGAAGCTGGTTGTCTGAGGTTAGCAATACTGGGAAGCAGCAGCCAGGTTGGAGGAGAGAGAGCTGTGGTCAAGCATCTTCTTCTGGGCCCCTTCAGCATCATATTTAAGAAAGACCCAACTATCCATCCACTGAGAATGGGAAGGAGGCATCCCCAGCAGCCCAAACCAAGTTCCTGATGTGGGAGGGGAAGGAGCCATCTTTGCAATGCCTTCTCAAATGCCCTGCAAAAAAACCACCAAACAGGTTTTAAGCTCCAAAGTTTGTTGGGGAGGAAAAGTGGAACTCAGTGGACCAAGAGGCGACCATTTTAGCTGCAAAGGGAAATGAGGCCACTCTCCATCTGGGAGGTGACCTCATTTCCTTTCCCCTTGCAGCTGAGATAGTACTTGATCCTTTTAGTTGTCCTCACAGCCAATAAATGGCCATATGAGTAATGCCCAAGGCCTAAGAGCATCTGGGAAGAAGGTTTCGGATGGTCCATAAGGGAATTGTGAAGCGTTCCTTCTGCCCTGTCCAAAGAAAATGCATGTGTAGCCCAGTATGGTGTTGTGGTTGGAGCGTTATGCTGCAACTGGAGACCTGGGTTCAATTCCTCACTTGGACATGGAACTCCAATAGGCGACTTTGGATGGATCCCACACATTCAGTTCCAGAAAAACCCCACAATAAGGTCACCATAATTTGGGGTCAACTTGAAGGCACACAATAACTACAATCCATAGTTATACGTGAATATGCCACCACCACGATTCCAACTTACATTTTTTCCACTTGACTCAAATATGTTGATTTTGGTCCAAAAATTGATGTAGGTTTCCCCAGCCTGACCTTTCTTTTCCCCTTCTATCAGAGAGTACTAGACACCCATGAAAGGGCAACAATTGTCAACGAACTGTCAAAC